TGGATGCATCAGCAGGGATGATGAGACAGAGTACCGGGCTGTGGTCGACTCCTTTGTCACGTGGTGTGAGCAGAATCATCTGCAGCTCAACGTGGCAAAGACCAAGGAACTGATCGTGGACTTCAGGAAGACCAGGAAACACTTGACCCCTGTTTCAATCCAGGGGGTCAGTGTTGACATTGTGGAGGACTGTACATACACTTTGCAGTTATTTATTTGTAAAACATGTTTGGAATCAAGTCTGACTTTTGTTCCACTTCTCACGTGTGCACCACTTTGTGTTGGTCTTTCACCTGGAATTCCAATAACATTGATTCATGTTTGTGGCTGTAATGAGACAAAATGTGGGAAAGTTCAAGGAGGCCGAATACTTTTGCAAACCGCTGTACCTCAGAGTACACATAGATAATAAACTGGACTGGGTTAAAAACACCACAGCACTTTACAGGAAGGGCCAGAGTCGTCTCTATTTTTTGAGGCGACTGAGGTCCTTCAACATCTGCCAGAAAATGCTGAGGATTTTCTATGAGTCTGTTGTGGCCAGTGCGATCCTCTATGCTGTTGCATGCTGGGGGAGCAGGCTGAGGGTCGCAGATGCCAACAGACTTAATAAACTGATCCGTAAGGCCAGCAATGTTGTGGGGATGGAGCTGGACTCCCTCAAGGTGGTGTCGGAGAGGCGGATGCTGTCCAAGATAAAGACAATGTTGGATAACACCTCCCACCCACTCCATGACATGCTGGTCAGTCACAGGAGCTCGTTCAGTGAGAGACTGAGATTACCGAAAAGCACCACTGAACGACACAGGAAATCTTTCCTGCCTGTGGCCATCTCCCTGTACAACGCATCCACTTAACACACTGTATACTGCAACAGCTACACCCTTTTTGGACATGTTCTTCCCTTTTCAACCATTTATTAATAAGTGACTTTATGGATATATATGCATGTATATATGGTGCTATTCTTAGTTGTGTATTGTCTGTCTTTTTTAGAGCTGGACCGATCCGATATTACGTATCGGTATCGGTCCGATACTGACCTAAATTACTGGATCGGATATCGGAGAAAAATAAAAAATGTAATCCGATCCATTAAATATCACGAAAGCACCTCACAAAACTTGCAACACGCCGTAACTCACTTCAGAACGTTAGCACGTCGGAGCAGTATGCATCACGTGATAGAGCGGCTGTGGCATGCGGGGCCTGTCGGTGGTCTGGATAGCATTTGAAGCTTCGCTAGCAACCCGGCATTTCATCTCCGACAAAGTTATCCCGAGAGAAGTAAAGCAAGTGTGTAAGTCCATCTCTGAATGTTTGTAAAGCATTCCCACGTTAAGCTTAACAAGCGACTGCCTCTCCTCTCCGGCTGCTACTTCAATCGTGAAACTGATCAGCTGATCGGCTTTTCTGTCGTGAGTCCGTCTCTCTGGTTTGTTTTTGGCCCACTTTGCACCAGAAAGAGGAAACCAGCGGCTGAACAACAGCAGCATGTTTAAGCTTGATCAGCTGTTGTTAGAATGTATTTAATATTACTTTCTACACCAGGATCTTTTTCTACGTAGCTGACGCTGGTAACTGTGCAGGGGCGGATCTAGCAAAGTTTAGCCAGGGGGGCCGATAGGGCATTAACAGGGAAAAGGGGGCACAAAGACATACTTTTCTTTCTTATTCTCATTTAAAATGTCTAGCTTTTAATAAATAATTATCTGACACCCAAAGTTTTAATTTGATGTAAAATGAATAGAAGTCAATTACTGTATACACACTGTCTTACAGACTACCTCAACTTTTGTGTGGACACAGTCGCCCCTGCTAAGACGGTACGGTGTTATCCTAATAACAAACCGTGGGTAACACAGGAAGTCAAAGCTGTCCTCAACATGAAGAAGAAGGCTTTCAGGAGCAAAGTGAAGGAGGAGATGAAAGCAGCACAGCGGGAGGTGAAACGCTGCCTGAGGGAAGCAAAGGACACCTACAGGAGGAAGGTGGAGCAGAAGTTGGAGAGGAACAATATGAGGGAGGTCTGGAATGGTGTGAAAACCATCACAGGCCACAACACCAAGAAAAGCACAGTGGGGGGGACTGTGGAGAAGGCAAACGAACTCAACAACTTCTTCAACAGGTTTGACCAGCCCACAACCCCCCCACCCTCACCCTCACCTTCACTACAGAGTCCTCTCCCCACTCTCCTGCCTCCCTCGCTTCCCCCCCTTCCTGACACCATGACACCCCCCTCCTCCAATCCCTCTCTCAGCAGCAAGACATCTCCCCCCCTCCCCTCCTCCCAAACATCTCCCAGTGTCACAGTGGATCAGGTCAGGAGGCAACTGAGGAAGCTTCGCCCCAGAAAGGCAGCAGGCCCAGACAAGGTGTGTCCTAGGATGCTAAAGGCGTGTGCTGCTGAACTTGGGGAGCCGCTACAACGAGTCTTCAACCTCAGTCTGCGACTGGGGAGAGTGCCCGCCCTATGGAAGACATCCTGCATCGTCCCGGTCCCCAAAAAGAACCGGCCCAATGAGCTGAATGACTTCCGACCGGTGGCACTGACGTCACATCTTATGAAGACTCTAGAGCGGCTCTTCCTCAACCTCCTCCGACCACAGGTACAACATGCCCAGGACCCACTACAGTTTGCATACAAGGTGGGTGTCGGAGTGGAGGATGCCATCCTGTACCTCCTACACAGAGCCCACTCACACCTGGATGGGGGAAAAGGCACGGTCAGGATCCTGTTTCTTGACTTTTCCAGTGCCTTTAATACCATCCGGCCCTGTATGCTTCAGGAAAAACTGAACAGGATGGAGGTGGACCCCTGCCTGGTGGCTTGGATCTCCGACTACCTCACCGACAGACCACAGTACGTCAGGCTGAAGGACATCACGTCTGACACTGTGGTCAGCAGCACAGGAGCACCACAGGGAACTGTGCTGTCCCCTCTTCTCTTCACCCTGTACACCTCTGACTTCTGCTACAACTCTGAATTATGCCATATTCAGAAGTTTGCAGATGACACGGCCATCATGGGGTGTATCTGGGATGATCAGGAAGAGGAGTACAGAAGTCTGGTGAGGAACTTTGTCGCATGGAGTCACACAAACCACCTGCAACTCAACACCTCAAAGACTAAGGAACTGGTTGTGGACTTCGGGAGGTCCAGAGAAGGTCCACTGCCGGTTCAGATAGAGGGGGAGGAGGTGGAGGTGGTCAACAAGTACAAGTACCTCGGGCTGTGGGTGGACAATAAACTGGACTGGTCATGCAACACAGAGCACCTGTATAAAAAAGCCCAAAGCCGACTGTACTTCCTCAGGAGGCTGAGGTCTTTTAACATCTGCAGGAAGCTCCTGAGGATGTTTTACCAGTCGGTGGTTGCTGGAGTACTTTTCTATGCTGTGGTGTGCTGGGGGAGCAGCACAGCAAAGAAGGACTCATGCAGGCTAGAGAAACTGATCAGGAAGGCTGGCTCTGTGGTCGGCATGAAGCTGGACACTCTGGTGACAGTGGCAGAGAAAAGGACATTAAAGAAACTGCTGGACATTATGAACAATGCTGGGCATCCTCTGCACACAGCCATTAACAACCAGAAGAGTCTGTTCAGTGACAGGTTGCTTCTCCCCAAGACAAGAACTAACAGACTTAAAAACTCCTTTGTCCCACACGCCATCAGACTGTTTAACTCCTCTCTGGAGGGGAGAGGGAGGGGAAACAGGAAACAGGGGGACAAAGGAGGGGGGAACAACTAAGCTGTAGTGCCTCTTCACCTCACTGTACAATACCTTGTGCAATACTTTTTGTAAATAGTCAACAGTGCAATAGACTCAATACTTGAAATGTGCAATTCACTTGTATTTTTATTTTTTATTCCTATTTATTCTATTTATCCCCTTTGTATATTTTATTTATATTTGTCTCTGTATTTATATATGTGTGTGTGTGTGTGTGTGTGTGTGTGTATATATATTATATATATATATTATATATAATAATATATATATATATATTTATTTATATTTATATATACAACAATTCTGTAACTGTAACTTCGGTCGTTGCTGTGCTTTTTGGAAGTCGAATTTCCCAGAGGAACCCACCCGAGGGATTAATAAAGTTCTATCTTATCTTATCTTATCTTATATAGTAACTATTAAGTCTAATATATATACCCTAGTAAGCTATAGCACTTTTTCCTTTGGGAAGGTACCATCTGTGCAGTCTGCAATTTTGTTGAAGAAAGATGTTGAATCTATTTAATATTTCTTGAAAAATAATTGATTTCTGTGCATTTTTTTTCACACTGCATCAAATTAAGGTTGATTACGTCGATTAAGCATCATGAGGTGGAGCGTGAGGGGTGGTTCCCTATATTTTATTTATTTATTTTTGTTGTTGCTGGGAGTTGGAACCCTATTAGTTAGGTTGCTTAATATTTACGCTAAGTACTCTTTAAAATACCAGAATAGGGAGGATGGTGTAGGTCTAAGTTTATTAGATTGATCAGTATTGCTGAACTATGAAATATTTTTTTTGCATACAGGTATAACAGAATAGCTTTAGTGTAGTTGTTGTTTTAAACTTGAATATGAACTTATACAAAATGCAGCAAGATATTTAAAAAAACAGTTTTGTTGATTAAAAAACACTATATCGGATTCATATCGGTATTGGCAGATATCCAAATTTATGATATCGGTATCGGACATAAAAAAGTGGTATCGTGCCATCTCTAGTCTTTTTTTACTGTCTTTTTACTGTTTGTTTATAATGGAGCACTGTAATGATAAAGAATTTCCCCTAGGGATCAATAAAGTATTCTGATTCGGTAAGCGCCTCAAGCAGACTTGGAAAATGTGGTAAAAAATGGCTACAGCTATCTATGCTTCGTTGAACAATAATACCTATCGTTCATTTGTTGTTTGAAAAAATGAAAACTGTTGCTTTAAATCACGAGACTAAAATATGCAGACCAACAAAGGCCTCCATGCAAACTAAACATGTCATCCCTTGTCTTCTGCCACTGGGCATTTCAATCGACAGCACAGATGATATATGAGGACAGGTCTGATAGTCTGATCTCTTAGTCCATAAATGAGAGAAGTCAGACACCTGGGTACGATAATAAAGAGAAGATAAAAAACATTCTGAATGCGAACAAGTACTATCCTTGTAACAATCATTAAAAGAGGCACGAGTAATGGGTAGTAAATAGTTGAGGAGAGGCTGAGGAACAGCTGCATCAGATTCAAGAGCAGTGTGTTACGAGCTTTAAAGGCCAAGGCTTTGTCTGTGGAGGCTGACCTGGCTGCTACAATCACACCAATGTAAGAGAAAATGACTGCCACACCAGCAGCCACAACCACAATACAAGTGAAAGCTTTGTCAAAACGATCAGACTTTGTCCCGAGCAGAATAGCGATGTCACCACAAAAGCCTTTCACCTCTAAATCACCCAACTCTTCAAATAGTGATAAAAACAACAGAGTGCGAATAATAATGTTTAAAAAACTGATGGCCCAAATCACAGTGATAGCTGCCCCTGTGTTTCTGATGGTGATGATGGTTGCATGTCTCAGTGGGTAGCACACAGCAACATATCTCTCAAGAGGCGTCACAACCAGCGTGAGAGGAGATATCACAGATGTGAGATGAGTGAAGTTGACAAGAAAAGTACATACAGGATATGACACTGTTATTCTAAGAACTGCAAGAAGAAAATGAATCTGACTCTGTGCCAGCTGCACAGTGTCCGCAAAAAGCAGGTTATACAGAAGAATATAACGGCAGGTCTCACGAAACACAGGTTTACTCCTCAGAGTGAACAACATGATGCCATTGATGAAAAGAAACACACAGGTCGGAAGTGTTGTCAGAGTAGAAATCATGACTCGTTCTGCTAACCCTGGAGACTGGACTGTGATGTTAGTGAGAGTCTGTGATGTGCTTGTCATTGAAGAGAAAATGTAAGACCTGAAATATTAAGCTGTTAAAATCACTGAAATACAAAAGTATAATGCCCAATATTTACAAGAAACACAAAACAAAATGCAAGTACAGTAAACAAGTACTATCCTTGTAACAATCATTAAAAGAGGCACGAGTAATGGGTAGTAAATAGTTGAGGAGAGGCTGAGGAACAGCTGCATCAGATTCAAGAGCAGTGTGTTACGAGCTTTAAAGGCCGAGGCTTTGTCTGTGGAGGCTGACCTGGCAGCTACAATCACACCAATGTAAGAGAAAATGACTGCAGAATGCAAGTACAGTAAATCTGTGCAGTGTTAGCATCCTATTGTTAGTATTTGTTGTGATGTGGGCAGAGCTGTTCTGCAGTGTTTTCTTGAATTCACTTACAATTTATAATGTTTGTCCTTGAAGCCTCTTCACAAGATGCAACACGTCAGCAAATTTACCAGCTCATTAAGCGCTGATGTAATCCTTCTTCTCACATGTAGTGTAAGGTAATAATGCATACGGCTTTAAATTTTTGTTAGGGTGGTTCTGAATTACCTGACTACCACTTTTCAAAACCCCAGATCCTAAAATTTTGGAGTTAATTGCTGATAAGTTTGGTTGTTTGTGGTGATTTGATGTTTGCTGTGTATTGTGTTTGGGAGGCCACATTGTTTAGGAAGATTAAGTGGAGGCAGTCATATTTAACAGTCATGTTTTTCTATAAAATTCTGTTTGTAAGTTTATTGGAGCTAGTATTGATGAGCTGTGTTGTGTAAACTTTGGAGAGCATGAGCAGGCTTGATTATTGAATATGCTTAAGCTACATGAAAAGTGGCTGCGCAGAAGACGGCGGCGACTCACAGACGAGGCAGGACCAGACGAGGCAGGACCAGACGGAGGCGCCTCGGACCCTCCAGCAGAGACGAGGAACAGCTGGAGTGGTTCTCCTGAACCCCCATATACAGGGTGTGAAGCAGCCAGAGACGTAGTACACACAGGGTCTAGGACAACTGGCTGAAAAGCATGGAACACAGAGTTAAACTGACATGACTGGGGGACAGAAAAGTTAACCTGTGCAACCAGCTCTGCAGTGCTCAAACCAAATTCTTTTGCCAGTTTATGTATAGCAGACAAAACCTTGTTGCTCCTAACTTTAGCAGGCATCAAATGCACAGTTTGAAAGAGTCCACGAGGAAAAACAGAAACAGTTTCTGAACAGACAGACTCTGGGCTTGTACTCTTCAACCCATGCATGGTTATGGAAGCTGGAGTCTTAACACAGGCAGCCTCAGCATATACTGGCTGGGGGGCTGCACCATCCACAGGTACAGCAACATCAACAATACTCTCCAGTGGTGTGAGCTGAACAACGTTAATAGGATCTGACTGGGAAATTAAACAGTTCATGGGAACAGGATGCTAGCAGGCTTGGACCCAGGAGCTACATAGTCCACAGATGTAAAAACATGAAAGTCACTTCGAAAATCAGAAGTGATAATTTCGCTAGCTTGTTGGTCAGCTTCACACACACCAAAATCATAGACATCTGTATAGTGCTCAGAAACATTTAGGTCACAGAAAACACTGGGTTCAGCGACAATATCCTGACTCACGCTGTCTAGCTCGGAAATGCAATGTTTCTGAATATTCCCGTTTGACATGGAAACAAAACTGTCCTTAGAAGGAAAGCACAGTATCTGCCAGCAGGGAAATACTAACTGGCTCAGTGTTAACTGGCTCAAGCAAAACGCTAGGTGTATACTAGTGATGGGTCCAACACTGACACACCAACGCATGTATCAAGCTTCTGGCAGTCCTGAATTTTATAATAAAGGACTGTCAACCCCTTAGTATTGTGGAGAGAAACATTCCAAGACCAGAGGATCCTTTCACGTACTGGGGGAATAGGAAGACATCTTATCCAAACCTTTTCCACCTGGCTTTACAGCTTTTGTGTTCCCCAGCTTCATCTGTGCCTCTGAGTTCTCCAAAGCTGGGGAAATGGTGTCAAAAAAAAAACGCAGTAGACCTAATGCAAAAACATTGAATAAACTTATTTTTCTGAATAGAAATTTATAAACTCTAAATCAATTACATTTAAATGGGTAATATTATATTCACAATACATTTCACTTAATGTCATTCACAATATTTGCAGATATAAAAGATATAAAATGATTCCATAGAAAGTACAATACCTTACAGTGTACAAGTATGACCAGGTCATTGAATCCGTGTCTGTTGTGAGTCTCAAGTAAGTTGCCTGCAATGATATTTAAGGTCCAGCAGGTGTCAGTATGGAGCAAAACAGCAAAACGGTGTCGACAAAGTATCGGTACAGTTTGGGGAATGTTTTGGGAATGTTTCCTGATCTTGGTGGGACGCGTAGGCTTCTTCTAGTGATTCGATGTTTTTTCTAATTCCTGAATATTTTTGTTTTCTTCTTTCTTTTTATGTGATGAGAAAGAAATTATTTTACCTCTCATCACAGCTTTCCCTGCTTCCCATAGAACAGAAGCTGATGTTTCGGGAGTGTCATTATAGTCCAAATATGAAGTCCACTCTTTTTTAAAATATTTAATAAAGTCTTCATCTTTAAGTAGTGATATATGAAATCTCCAGTTTTTTCTTGGCGTAGTATTATTCTTGTGCATTAGTGTTAAAGATACAGGAGCATGATCGCTGACAGCTATAGGGTGAATCTCAGTGTCTGAAATGTCGCTCAGCAGTGAGCTGCTGACCAGAAAATAATTCAGACGAGAGTAGAAGTGATGGACATGTGAGAAAAAAGTATATTCCTTACTGGTGGGGTGAAGGGAGCGCCATGCATCGCAAAGACCAAAGTCGCTCATATACTGTTTGATTATATTTGTGGACTGCCAATTGCGCTGAGTTCCCGCTGTATTGAGCCTATCCATGTCTTCATTTAGTCCAAGGTTGAGGTCGCCGCCAAGAATGAGTGTGCCATCTAAGTGTTCAGAGAGTGCACTGAAAAAACCGTGAAAGAATGAGGGATCATCAACATCTGGACCATATACACTTGCAATACATAGCTTTTTATCAAGTATAGATAGTTTAATGATTAAGAATCTGCCCTCTGGATCTATAACTTTATCGAGTACTGTGAAATTAATATTTTTATGTATTAAAATTGCTACTCCCCTTTGTCTAGAATTATAACAAGCTGAGAACACATTAGGAAACTCAGGTGTTTTAAGTTCATTCGAACCTCTAAGAGGTCTGTGGGTCTCTTGTAAAAGGACAACATCTGCCTGTAGTTATTTGAGTTGGTTAAATATTTTTAACCTCTTTTCTCTGGAGCCAGCTCCATTTATATTCCATGTAACAAACCTTAGTGCGCCCATAGATGTGTGTGTATAACTAGGGGTGTACGCTGTGGTGTCGCTTATACAGGTGGAGAGAATACATCACTTGTTTGTGAATAAAGAGAAGGAGAGAGAGAGAAACAGACTGTGAGAGAGTGTTCCAGGGAAAAGCAATACAAAAAACACGAGACTAGACAAGGACATAAGAGGCTAAGCGCTAAGGGAGAGGAGGAGAGGAGAAAAGTGCGACCGCCTTCGTCAAGAGCAAGAGCAGAAAAAAAAACAAAAAAACTTTGGAATTTTAAGAGGCTGAATTAAACACTTAGAACATATATTGGAGGGAACAGAATTTATCCCATTTGACATACTAGTTGCACAATATGGGATCAACAAGAAAAGGTTTTTAGAATATCAACAAATTAAATCCATAATAAAAAAGAAATTTAACCTCAGTCAAGTTGAATTACAAACACCACCAAGTGCGGCACATTTTCTTACTCTTAAATCCCCCTTAAATCCCTTCCTTCCCTCCCCATCTCCAGCTGCCTCCCTCTTCCCGCTCCACCACAACCACCCACACATGCAGGGCCTTGGAGTAGGGGTATGTCACCAGGGTGCAGAAGAGGCTACCCCCCCCTCTGTCCCCTTCTGGCTGCCTCTGCCTCAATTTTATCCCACAACTTAGACATTCACATTACTCACACTCTCATTACACATACATATAGGATCTTGGGGGTGGGCACGATACACGGAGTCCAAAGTACCATCAGGGTGTACACCCCACCCCTGGCATCGTTGCCCACCTCTCAATTTTAAATACACGTAGACATTGAGGGCTAGCAGGAGGGACCATGCGCTTACCTGCTGCTCTCTGGCAGGTAGCTCCATGCCCTCCTGGGTTTTAAATGCACCTTAGAACACACATGCATCAACATTACAATGAGCGGGTGGAGGGAGGTTCGGAGTCTTCTCTCACCCCCGTTCTCTGCGACCTGCTGGAGCAGGGGGGCTAGGACTAGGAGGAGGAGTTGGCCGTCCGACTGCGGTCTGGAGTGTGGAGCCTTCCTGCTGCTGCGGAGTCGGGGCGGTCTGCCTCCCCCACCGCAGGGAAAAGGGAAACACCACCTGGGTCTGGGTGCAGTTCCCCCCTCCAGGGGCGGGGCACCTAGACCCGGTTTGTAGAGTACGCTTGGGGAGTGTGATCGTGTGTACAACGTCTCTTTATGTCTGTCTCCACGTTGGTTGAGTGTGGAGTAAGTGCATATGAGAGCATGAGGGTGGGAATGGATGTTTGTATCTGTGTGTGCCTGTATGTCTGTGTCTATATGTCAGGTTGGGTGACAGGCGCCACCTCTCTGGGGACATCTCAGGCCCTCCAAGGTTTGGAGGCCTATCTCCCCCTACCACCACTTCCCCTGCCAGTGGCGGACCCCCTCAGACATCGGTGCGTTGGTGGTTCTTTGTGTCCGGGGATGGGCGTCCAGGTACACACCGGCTCACTCCTTCGCAGCCGCTTATTGGGGCTCGCTCGGGCCATTTCGGAGGTGGGGTGCCTCCGGCCTCTCGGCCTGGGGCTCGGTCACTCAGGCACAGCTGGCTGCCGGCGGAGCTCGCGGGCACGTCACTGCAACTCCCCCTGGCTTCTGCTCCGCGGCTGCTGAATGAGCCCTCATCTGGGACTCTCCTCAGCTCTTTCTGGGACAGTGGCGCGGCTGCCCCTCTGTTGGTCTTCCTTGGTCTCTTGTGTTCTGGGGGCCTCTGGATGTCTGGAGTTTTGATCTCCTCCATACCTGCTTGATACCATAAAGGACGGGGCTGTGGCTCCCCACACTCCCTAGCAGATCTTTACATGGAGAAACCTTTGGAATGCAAGCATGCTGATCCACACAGGTATGCACACAGGTGTACACATATTCACAGACGCGGACTACAGCTTTCTTGGCTGCTGCCTCAAAGCACACTGTGCACTGTCTATCTTGAGTGTTGCACAATATCGTTTATTATTTAGTAACTATTGATATCTATGGCTAGCTAGTTTATTGTGATGGTGCTTTTTTTTTTCTATTATTATGTTGCTCTTTGTTGTTTGCTGTCTCCTCTGTTTTTTTTTTCTCCATACAGGTGACCCAGGAGTTTTTTTTTGTTTTTTGTTTTTTCTCTCTTCCCCCCCTTCTCACCGTCTCTTCTCCCCTTTGGTTTTCTTTCATTCTTTCCCCCTGTCCTATCCCACAGTTATGTCTGTCCCGTTTGCAACTGAAAATAAAATAAATTCATAATTATAAAAAAAAAAGAAAAAAAAAAGAAGGGTTTAAAGAAGGGCGGACAAAAAACACAGAGTGGAAGAGAGCCAGAGATGAATAATAACTAATGATTAAATGCAGAGGGGTGTGTAAATACATGAGTGAAGAAGAAACGATCATGGGAAGCCTCATGCAGCCTAGGCTTATTAAAAAGAAAAGAAGAAAGAAAAAAGAAAAGGAAAAAAAAAAAAAGAAAAAAAAAAGAGGCATGTCGTGAGAAACCTGAAGCTTATCTTTTTCCCACCTTCTCTCAGCACGCCAACACACGCGACGTAGAGCGCGCGTAGTGTCGTTAAGCCAACACCAAGAGTAGGTTCTGGGGCGCTTCATCTTAATGGGGGCAACAGTATCAAGGATAGAAGAAAATAACGATAACAAGGTATTAGCACAGTCATCAACCGAACGCAAAGAACAACAGTCGGGAGTGACAGATGCAGAATCCAAGAAAGACATAGAGAAGTTTGACATCGCTTCAACATTAATTACACGTAGCGGGCGAAAGGGAGCCACAGGATGTAGTTCATTAGTGCATAAGCCAGTATCAAAAATAACTGGGCAATGATCCGAGATCCCAGCAGCACTTATATCCTTGATACAAATGTCCAGACCACATGAGAAAACCAAGTCCAAAGTATGTCCTTTAACATGGGTTGGGTCATTAACCCACTGAGCCAGGTTAAAAGAGTCCGTTAAGGCAAGGAAGTCTTTAGCAAATGGGTCATCCTTACAGCAAGTGAGTATGTTAAAATCAACAACAATGAGAACACAACCATACTTAAAAAGAACGGCGTGAGAGAGAGGGAGGGGGGGTGAAACGAGACAGAGAACCGCTCTCGGTGTAAGCCAGGCCCAGTTGCTTGGCGGCTGCCTCGCATCTCTCTTTTCCCCCATCTCCTTTCTGTCATACACCGGTGGCTAGCTGCCCTCTGTTGTAGCTCCGCCGTAGCCACCACCTAACAACTGAGTTACTTTTTCCACATCGAACAGCATCTGGACAATCCACCACCTTTCACTGTTTTTACCGTTACTAAAATGAATAAATGAATCACCAGCCCATATAAATGAAAAATAAATCCAGCACCCAACCAAGAGTCATCACGAAAGACTAGGGGGTGAAACGAGAGCGTGAGCCGGCCTGGGTGTCAGCCAGCCCGGCCTGGGCGTCAGACAAGTGTGTATGTGATCATACACAGGCTACCCAGCTAGCTGCCATGCGGCGCTAGCTGGGTAGCGCGGCTTTGGGGCAAGTTACACGCAAGTTACATACAAGTTAAGCGCCGAAATTTAGGCGGAAGATGAAGAATAATAATAAGAATAATAAATCCGAGGAATAGTAATAAGTGTGCCTCTTGGCATAGGCACACTTAACAAGCACAAACAAGTACGAATGGAGAAAACTTTAGTCTTCACTGCTTTTCCTGAAGACTTTCCCTACATCTTAAAGATCTGAACTTGTTAACAATAATAAATAATTTGAAGTAAATAAATAAATGTTAAAGATCTTAATTTATAATACAGTTTGCAAAAAAATGAAAAGCTTGGATACTTATAGTATATTTTATTATTAAGTAATGTATAGCAGCGGTCCCCAACCCTCGGGCCTCAGACCGGTACCGGTCCGCGAGTCGTTTGGTACCGGGGCGCGAGAGTTGAGGCTCAGGTGTGAAATGTATAGTTTTCAGGGTTTTTATCGGTTTTCAGCGTTATTTTGTTATCGTTTTTATCGTTTACTCGGTTTTCCTGGGTCTTTTCACGTGTGTTATGAATAAATTTTCTTTTTTTCGGTACCGGTACTAGTTTTATTTTGTTGTATTTATCCGCGACACCTTAAAGGCCGGTCTGTGAAAATATTGTCGGGCATAAACCGGTGCGTGGCGCAAAAAAGGTTGGAGACCGCTGATGTATAGTGTAGTTTTCTTTAAAACACCTTAAAGTTAAATACTGCACAAGTTCAAGCGACACAGCAGTTAAAGTGCCTAAAATTAATATGAATACACATTGTGACTATGATACCATAAGACTCATATGTGACGCTCTAGTGTGTGTGTGTGTATGTGTACGTACATATACACGTACGTACGTGTATATATGTATACACGTGTATACACGTACGTACGTGTATATACGTACGTACGTGTATATACACACACACACACACACACACACACACACACATGAACAAAGAGAAACAAGACAAGACTCCCTCTTCTCTGCAAGATGCTGCCATTGGTAAAAATCCTGATTGAATGTTAACTGTGCTGTTAACATTCATGGACACTTGCACTGTACTTATTTATAAACATTTCTTATTACACTCTCTATCTATCTATTAGGAATCTAGTGAAGCCCCATTCATGGAGCTCAGTGACCAGTGCTTAATGGACAATGGAGCAAGGGTATTTAATGTTTCATTATAAGCCAGATTAGTCTTTAATAGGACTTTAAAATCAACATGAAATTGAAGAGACAAACACTGTAGTACTGAAGTATTATGTTCATTTTTCTTGATGTCCCTTAAAATCAGGTAAGGACATTCTTAATTGTCAGAAACCTTTTAAGAGCGCTCTGAACAAAGAACATGGCAAGGCAGGCAAAAATAATATGATGTATGACTTTCTGTAAATTCTGTAGCAGACAAGAATGATTACGTGAGCATCACTGCTGACAGTCACTACATGGTTACTGTCATACTGCTTAGTTTTGTTGCTCAATGATGGTGCCACCACAGCCACATTGCACTGAAGGAGAATTTCTCTAACCCAGATCTTAAACTATTGTGGTGGATGCATTTTAGCAAACAATTACTTTGGCTAGAGCGTCACATATGAGTCTTATGGTACGTACATACGTACGTGTATATGTGTGTATATGTGTGTATATATGTGTGTATATGTGTATATATGTGTATATACTGTACTGCCCCTTGTGGCTGTTCAACTTGTAGCCAAGCATCTCACTGATCACTGCTGCCGTATTGTAGATCAGCTTGTTATATATATATGTACGTACGTATATACACGTACGTATGTATGTACGTACGTGTATATATATACGTATGTACGTACATACGTATATATATACACGTACGTACATATATACACGTACGTACGTATATACACGTACGTACGTACGTGTACGTACGTACGTGTATGTACGTATGTACATATATATATATAACAAGCTGATATACAATACGGCAGCAGTGATCAGTGAGATGCTTGGCTACAAGTTGAACAGCCACAAGGGGCAGTACCCTCCATGGAGAAGGAGGCTAGAGGGCAAGATCAAAGTAGCACGGAGGGAGGTTAGCCAACTAACGGAGTTGCAGAAAGGTGCGACAAAGAAGGTGCATAAGAAATACAGCAAGCTGTCCATACCTGAGGCCTTGGAAACTGCCAAGCAAAGACTCACATCCTTGGCCAGCCGCTTGAGGAGGTACACCAGAGAGATAGAAGGCAGGAGAATAAACCAGCTGTTCTCCACAGAACCAGCAAAGGTGTACTCTCAGTGGCAAGGGAACAATAAGAGAACAGCACCACCAAGGCTGGAGATGGAGCAATACTGGAAGAGCATATGGGAGAAGGACGCAACCCATAACGGCAATGCTCAGTGGCTAGTGGATCTGAGGGCAGACCACAGCGACCTCCCTGAACAGGGTCCAGTAACCATCACAGTGGCAGATATCCAAGAAAGGGTCTCCAGTATGAAGAGTTGGACAGCACCAGGGCCAGACATGGTTCGCGCCTACTGGCTAAAGAAGCTGACTGCACTCCACGAGCGTCTGGCAGCACAAATGAACCAGCTGCTAGTTAACGAGAGACACCCGGAATGGCTAACCGAAGGTCGGACGGTCCTGATCTCCAAGGACCCCAAGAAGGGACCGGTCTCCTCCAACTACCGACCAATAACCTGCTTTAGTACCACATGGAAGCTCCTGTCAGGCATCATATCGGCTAAGATGAACAGGCACATGGGTCAGTACATGAGCAGGACACAGAAAGGAATTGGTAAGAATACCAGAGGCGCAAAACACCAGCTACTGGTAGACAGAACAGTCAGCCGAGACTGCAAGACCAGACTGACCAACCTTTGCACTGCCTAGATTGATTATAAGAAGGCCTATGACTCAATGCCCCACAGCTGGATACTGGAATGCCTAGAATTGTACAAGATCAATGGGACCCTAAGAGCCTTCATCAGGAACTCAATGGGGATGTGGCGCACAACACTAGAGGCCCATAGCACAAGTCACCATCAAGTGCGGGATCTACCAAGGAGATGCTCTGTCCCCACTGCTGTTCTGCATAGGCCTGAACACCCTCAGTGAGATCATTAACAAGACTGGCTACGGATACCAACTATGGAACGGAGCAGTTGTCAGCCACCTCCTGTACATGGATGACATCAAGCTGTATGCCAAGAGTGAACGAGACATCGATTCACTGATCCACACTACCAGGCTATACAGCAATGACATTGACAATCCAGCACATAACAGCAGGGTGCAAGATGCTAGCAGGCAAGGCATACATGGAACGCCATAACCAAGTGGCCGGCATAGTGTACAGGAACATCTGTGCCAAGTATAACCTGGAAGTCCCGAGGTCAAAATGGGAGATGCCCCCAAGGGTGGTGGAGAATGACCGAGCTAAGATCCTGTGGGACTTCCAGATACAGACGGACAAAATGGTGGTGGCTAACCAACCGGACATAGTGGTGGTAGACAAACAGAAGAAGACGGCCGTAGTGATCGATGTAGCGGTTCCGAATGACAGCAACATCAGGAAGAAGGAACACGAGAAGAGAAATACCAAGGGCTCAGAGAAGAGCTCGAGAGGATGTGGAGGGTGAAGGTAACGGTGGTCCCCGTGGTAATCGGAGCACTAGGTGCGGTGACTCCCAAGCTAGGCGAGTGGCTCCAGCAGATCCCGGGAACAACATCGGAGATCTCTATCCAGAAGAGCGCAGTCCTGGGAACAGCTAAGATACTGCAGGACCCTCAAGCTCCCAGGCCTCTGGTAGAGGACCCGAGCTTGAAGGATAAACCGCCCGCAGGGGCGTGCTGGGTGTTTTTATATATATATGTATATGTGTGTGCGTATATATGTGTGTGTGTGTGTGTGTGTGTGTGTGTGTGTGTGTGTGTGTGTGTGTGTGTGTGTGTGTGTGTATATGTGTGTGCGTATATATGTGTGTGTGTGTGTGTGTGTGTGTGTGTGTATGTGTGTGTGTGTGTGTGTGTGTGTGTGTGTGTTAATAATGTCTGTTTAAACACTTTCCTGTGATTATTTCTATGTTGGCTTGAAAATTAGTTTCTCCCTCTGTTGGTATTGCAGCTTACTGTAGCTTCCACATGTGTTTACTTTTCATGTTTTGTAGAGGTAAAGCATGAAATGGACATGGTGGACAGGCGTGTCAATTACATGCTTTGTCATGATATCTGGTTGCATATCAGCTCAAGTGTGTGAATGAAGTTGTTAATTAATGATAGTACCCTTGAGTTAACTTACAACACAAAGACACCCCCACCAAAAACACAGAAGTCTCCCAATCATCATGTCCACAGATGATCCTGTCACTTGAAAAAATTCAAAACAAAAGTGACGAAAAGGAAAGTGTAAGTTTTAATATGTGCATGGATCCAAACCGAAAACTGCACGTCATATGTTACAATGTGTGTCACAGTGCTTGACAGTGTTGTGTTTTTAGTCTTTTTTGGCTGTGGGTGGCTTTACTTTTTTGGTATTAATGATAAATAGATAATGGCAAAGACGCAAGAGTTGGTTGTACCTTTACATTTTTTTAACTGTAGAAAATATATTAGAAGAAAAATATAAATCAGTTTTTGTCTGTATCCATTAGTTTTTCCTCTCTTGGATTTCATCATCAACATCAGCATTTTCTTTTTTTTACTGTGTCTTTGCTCCTGTTTTCTTAATTAACCACTGCCATTTTCCTAATGTGCTAAGTCTAAATGTTGTTGTTGTGGCATTGTTGTTTTTCAGTGGCTGAAACCACTCAGAGGTACCACAGAGAGAAAGCTCCCATCTAACAAAGTCTCCTGATAACTCATTTAATTACATTAAATATTCAGAACCTAACTAATTAATGCTTTTAGTAAATATTGACATGATTAATGAATCCCATGGGTATTGATTAGCAGTCTTCGTGGGGAGCAGATGATGTGCATCCCAGCAGAGACAAATTATGGGAAAGTTAACAAGAAGTCAAAGGCAAATCGAGAAAAGTTCACTTCAGTGTCCTTAATGGATCCCATGGGCGTTGATTTACTAGTGCGTCAAATCTGAGTGATCCAACTAGTTGACTACTACTGGGCCTTTTAAGTATGCTCAATAGAAAAAACTCATAAACAGTTACATTGAAATTTGAAACCGTATAAAAACAAGAGGAAAACCCTTATTCTCAGATTTATTTGACAGGTAAACTGCACAACTACTTATATCTCATATTAGATATATAAAAATAGCTCCATGCTGAAGTATATTAACATGTAACAGCTAACATCTGAGAGATTTGGTGCATATGTGCTGATTATTTGTTGAACAGTGCCAACCAAAAATGCTTCAATACACTCTAAAAAGTAATTCACCAGGCCTTTTACCTTCACTTGATTAAATCCATGGCTACAACATAAAAATTCTAAGTTGCAAACTTTCTTTTTTGGGGTTGTGTTGAATTAATAATGTTGGTAATTACATTAAATTCATTTTATATGTAATTTCAAATTAAATCCCAATGTCAGTGGGCTCAAAATAAAATTCAAGTTGTAATTACTTAAAGAAATTGAATAGATAACGTATTTTATTTCCACTGTAACTTCTGATTTCAAGTTCCCACTTCACTAACCCAGGCAAATTCACATATGGTGCGTTGCATGGTGGACTTGCAAGCTTTTGTAAAAGACATTTCGAGGTAAATAACATTTCATTTACAATAACAATTCTAACAAAGCAAAGCATTTGTGCTAGTCACTTGTACTGGATGATGTGATGCTCATTTTGCACTACCACATGTAGCTAATGCTAGCCATTCTAAACTTTAGCGCAGGAGAGGATAAGACTTGTAAAGTTTAAGGAGCTTGCAAAGAAAAGCGTCTGGACTTCTTTAAGTTGCTTGAAGACGTTTCACCTCTCATCCGAGAAGCTTCTTCAGTTCTAAGGTCAAATGGTGGAGAGTCCCAGATATAAACCTAGTGGGAGTTTCCCCCCACAGAGGGACAAAAGGACCCCTGATGATCCTCTAATCGCCTAAGACAAGGTGTGAAACTGGGTGTGGGTCCCAATCAGCCAGAGTTTCAGGTGAGCTCATTGTGAAACCTGGCCCCACCTTATCATGCGAATTCCTGAGGTCAGATGGTCCAGGATGTGAGTGGGCATTAACGCGTCTGGGGAGGGATCTCAAAACTGAATTATAGATGGCAGAGAGTTGGTGTCATAAGCCCCGCCTCTGTTCAAAGATGGTCGCTCACAGTGGACATAGATGGCTTCTTTCACTCCTCTTTCAAACCATCTGTCCTCTCTGTCCAAAATGTGAACATTGGCATCCTCGAAAGAGTGTCCTTTATCCTTAAGTTGCAGATGGACTGCTGAGTCTTGTCCTGTGGAGGTGGCTCTTCTGTGTTCCTGTGGGAACATCTGTGCCGAGTATAACCTGGAAGTCCCGAGGTCAAAATGGGAGATGCCCCCAAGGGTGGTGGAGAATGACCGAGCTAAGATCCTGTGGGACTTCCAGATACAGACGGACAAAATGGTGGTGGCTAACCAACCGGACATAGTGGTGGTAGACAAACAGAAGAAGACGGCCGTAGTGATCGATGTAGCGGTTCCGAATGACAGCAACATCAGGAAGAAGGAACACGAGAAGAGAAATACCAAGGGCTCAGAGAAGAGCTCGAGAGGATGTGGAGGGTGAAGGTAACGGTGGTCCCCGTGGTAATCGGAGCCCTAGGTGCGGTGACTCCCAAGCTAGGCGAGTGGCTCCAGCAGATCCCGGGAATAACATCAGAGATCTCTGTCCAGAAAAGCGCAGTCCTGGGAACAGCTAAGATACTGCGCAGGACCCTCAAGCTCCCAGGCCTCTGGTAGAGGACCCGAGCTTGAAGGATAAACCGCCCGCAGGGGCGTGCTGGGTGGGTTTTTTTTGTTTTTTTTAATATAAATTTTCAGTAACACTGGTGCAGCATAAAGAAACAAACAAACCAACAGAGACACACAAGAGGGAAAAAAAGAAGGCCACATATATGGGGAGAGTTCCAGAAAGGAACGGGGAAAAAGAATAGGGTAAATATGGCATATATGAGAGCATATGTGTGTGTGTGTGTGTATATATAAACAAACACCCAGCACGCCCCTGCG